TATTTCACTATTACTGTTCTTGCTGTGTTTTTCAAATAAAGGCAGCTTTTTAGCCATGCTTACCTAACAGGGCCAAAAATCCCATAAAAGCGCCAACAGGAGTGGAGTGGTTGTTTCCAATAATGACTAACACAATCTACAAAGAGCAAATCAGTGTAGGGTTACAAACAAGCAGAGATGATGATAAACCTTGAATGATTCATTAAGATATTGTCCTCCCAAAAATGTTGTGTCTGAAAGGGAAACTCCTACAAATGCATATGCAATAAGGTTAGGCACAAAAATAACTGTCCTTGCCCTTTCATTGCTGATATTTCGCTGTACATCTTTAGTAAATCCTCACAGTATTTTTTTTTAACACCAAAAGAGGGTTTACGCTAGTGCAGTCCGTTAGTAAATCTGGCCCTCAGTGAGCTTTGAAATAGACTTCCGACCACAATCCTACCGACCACAAACTTTTGAACGTCTGTGCATTTCTGTCTCTGTCTGTGACCGTCATGGGATCGGAGTTCAATTTAGCTGAGTTGGACCTGGCTGAACTTTTGATGTCCCTCATGTTACCAGTATAACATTTGAAGGTTCATTGCTAGGAGATGCTTTGACACTAGTCTGTATTTATATAATTCTTACCTGGTGGTAAAATCTTGTAGCGCATTAATCTAGTAATCACAAATAAGTGGAATGGTCATGGATTTTAAGCTTTCTTTTTGTCTTTAAAAATTTTAGTACACCTGTACTTTCAGAAAATGCTTCTCATGGCTTTGGAGATCACCGTGCCATTCTGGTCTTCCCAGGCTTAGCCATCACCGAGCTCCTGCCTATGCTGACAAGCAGCCCAGCTCCTCCCAGTAACTCACAGTGTGGGTCGCCCTATAGTGGGTGTTAAGGAAGGTGTGTGGAGGTCAAGGGCAAAAGGGAGAGAAGGAGGGGGAACCCGCTGATCAGCTCATCTTAATGCTTACAGTAATTCCTCACAGGCTCAGGGCCTAAATAGCACGCAGCTCTTTCTCCCAGCTGCGTTTTGGGGGGGGGGGTGGACCTAATGGCTGATGTGAACTTGCGACTAGTGCCCTCATTTCAGGGCTCTACGCTTACTTTTCTTTTTAGGAGCACTTGTGCTCCTAACTTAAAAAATGTAGGCGCACGTTCAAAATTTAAGGTGTACCTTCTAAACCATTATAACATTTTTTATCAAAAAGTAGCCTACCCATTACGAGGTGATATTTGACTCCTCTAACTTTATTAAAAGTATGTCATCTTTTGTCAAATTCTTAAAAAAATGATATTTTATAAGCTTTTAAAAAATGAATTAAAACGACAGAATAAGAACAAGTAGAATAAGAAATATAAGTTACCAATCAAATTAAATCAGTATTAACAGTTTATTTGTAGAGGTGGCACAGAAGAACACAAAAGTGGCTTGGTGTACTTTCAGACATTTAATGAGGCTCAGAAGTGGAATGAGTGCAATTAAATCCATAAATTCATGATAATATTAATGTTTTAAATATAAAATTTTGAATATAGAAATATTAAATGATTTAAATAACTGAAAATATACTTTTAAAATGAAAGAAACTGCCAGCAGGTGGCGGTAAGTCACTGAATCATTCGAACGGCTGATTCATTCAGGAATGAATCAAGTGACTGTCTTTATTAATGGGTAATCATGAATCACTGACTCACTAGATTCATAAAAAAAAAAAGTTAATTCATAAACGAAACACAGCTGTGTTTGAATAGAGATGCGCAGCGGCTGAGCTGTGACTTTGTTTTAAACTATTTTCAACGACGAAATAGAGCAAAATCAGACAATAGTGTTATAGTCAGACAATGTAAGTCACTTAATATTAACTTCTTGTTTATTTAATTGTATTGTATTAAATCAGTATCACATTTACAAACTCCTTTAAAAATCATTAAAAGCTGGCACTCATCTTGGTTCATCTCGATCTCACATCTATAATCAACGGAGCTCTCTACACTGCGCAATGAATCTCTCACTTTGCTTGTGAAAGGATTCGTGAGATACGTCTGTGATACATTACTCAACGCTGCAAAAACACGTAGAAACATTTGAAGCTCCCCTGAACGCAATCACAAGTATGATGATGATCGGGTCAGTCGCACTGGTGCTCCTAAAAAAATGTTTGTAGTCGCTCACAGTAGTTTTCTGTTGCAAATGTGACTGAAATGGTTGCGCTGTAGAGCCCTGCATTTGTGTTAATTACCTGTTCATGTTCAAGGGGACACACCAGGGCTGTTGTTATTGTTATACTGGCTTGTGTAATAGACATTTTAACACTTAAAAACACGTTTTGTGAATCTTATTGTGAGTGATATGTTAATCTGTGTGTGTGTGTGTGTGTCTATGTATGTATATAAAATATACACACTAGGGCTGCACGAAATTGGAAAAAAACTCACATTGCGATATTTTGTTTTTCTGCAATGTATATTACGATATGAAGAAATAGCTTTATTTGGGGAAAAATAAAGGGGAAATTCCTCTTAGGTGACTCTTGTGAGAGGGGAAGCAGCACGGACTGTGCTTTCACACAGGAGTCCTCTACTGATCCGTGGCTGATTACCACAAACACAACATTTATCCATTATTTTGATTTAAAATCCAAACATTGTCACTGAAAATGCTTTTTCATCATTGCAATTCTTTTTTTGCACAGTACAGTAATACAATCTTTCACAGACATGTTTAAACGCATTAAATATAAGCAACACATTATTCAATGCTTTTTACTTTTGCATTTACTTATAGATTTATATATTAAGCTGCTCAAGCAAGTGGCAAAACATTTAAACTACTTTTCTTACGTTATCACAAACTTACCATTGACAGAAATAGTCAGCTCTACTGCCTTTCCTTTTGCATTGAAATCTTTATTACAAACAATCCTGCGGTTCATATAGAACTTTGTTTTCCTACCTCCACGAGAGCCATCTATTATTGCCTTGATTATTTAAAAGTGCTCTTTCCCTTTAAACCTAGCCAAAAAGCCATATGTGTTGACCGTGAAACACCGTAGACTTTAATAATATGCATTTATGGTGTATTTACAAAATTTTCGTGTCAATCCATGTTTATATTTACTGCAAACAATGCGCTGTTACTTTAATTCTTCGCTTGCAGCGCAGCAATAGACTCCGTGTGGAAACGATCTGTGCACTTCTGCTCGTGGAACGCACTGCCGGACAGCAACCGTGTGCAGTGTGCACGCTTTATTAATCCGTTAACATGAGCGCGGAAAAAATATGCACAACATTTGCACTACAAATGGTGTAATGTGAACCTGGCATTGTGTGTGTGTGCGCTGCGAGTGTGCATGAGCCCAGTCTCCAGGAGAGCACGCGAGCGCTGAATTAAAAAGTAATGCAATTTATAAACTTTAGTGACGATGTGACACTGCCTCGATTGTGCAAGTGACAATTCCTGTGTCAAGTCCTGTGTCAATTCCTATGTACAGCGTGCAGCTCACTTATAGACAGACGCGATGTGGTGATTAGAAGCCATTTGTGCATTTTGAAAGTGAAAGAGCACGCGGTGATTCACTCGCGCTGTTTGTAAAATTACGTCTCGCACAAGGGTTTCAAATTACTTTATAAGTTATTTAATGAAGAAATATGAAGGTGAATACGTAATCTTCAGCATTATAATTATTTCACCCGCTCCGGACAGAGACTGAGACGGTGCTGCTGCATGTCGTGCCAAACCTTCTCACGGCAGTGTCATCAGTAGGGATGCAACGATTATAGATTTTGTTGGTACGATTATTGTCTGAGAAATAATCACGATTATGACGATTATTATGCATTTATTAATTTCACAAAATTATTATTGTATAAAATCACATGGACACTCTTTAGATAAAGTGTTATTTATTGCTGCCTTTAGAAACAGAAATAACACCGTAACCAATAATACAGCACAAAATAATAATAATAATAAAGACAAACAAATATCTCTCCAATTGGAATTAAAAAGGTGACCTCTGCTCTGTAAACATGTCAGTATTTCCCTTTTGAAAATAACTAATGAAAATATATCACAGAAGTATTTCATGTTTTCAGTTTGTAGATTCTTTACATTTCTTTTGGACCTGAGGCAGAAAACTGGAAACATGGTGAAAAAAAATTATCTTGTTGGTTTTTGACTTATGCATAATACTATAAAAGAGATACTATATAACAATGTTATTGTATTATTAATAAATAATATATACAATTAGGCTAATAATATAAGACTTAACTTTATTTATCCCACAGGGGAAACTATTAATAATCAGGGGAATAAACTGAACTATCATTGTAATCAACTTTAATAATTTTTATGATTTTACATGTGGCCTTACATGTGGCCTGAGATTATGTTGTATTTATTTTCTGCTATTGCTTGTAATTTCTTGGTTATCTGTAAAAAAGAAAAGAAAAAGGTTTTTAGCACTGAGCCCATAGTAGCAGCCAAAAAAAAGTCTAAAAGTTAACAGCTTTATTTTTGTATTTATTTTTCTACATGAATGTATTTTTTCCTACAACTGAAGTACCTCGTTTGTGTTGATTCCTAATGAGGATTTACATTATTTTACACATTGCCTATTTTAGCACAGAAGCCTGAAAGACTGTCTTGACTGTTGTCATATCTTAAGATTGCTGATCTTGTGTGACTTAATTTTTTTTTCAATTATATATTTTTCTTTATTTAAAAAAAAAGTGTGGGCCTGTTTTTTGTTGTGAAAGTCCCAATTGAGGAACAGGATGTGAAAATTTAAGATAAATGTTCATGTTATATGTTTTGGTTGCATTTGTGAGTTAATAAAAATGTAGATGGTTGTTTAAAATAGGTATATAATATATCGATATATCGATCGATATTCTCCTGTATCGAATCGTATCATAGAATTTTTTGAAGTATCGGCAAAAATCTTGTCGCTGGTTGTGAGAATCGATATCGTATCATGACGAACCATCTGATTTACACCCCTAAGAGTAGGGATGTGCGCGACGACTAATTTTACTGTCGTTTAAACGAAAGTTTTGTATCCGACTAGTCTAAAAGCAAGAACCCCCAAAAGATGGTAAGAAAAAAAAAAAACTGTGTGTGTGCGTGTATATAATAGCCTACATTTGAAATATTTTATCTATGAATTAATTTTAGGCGGACGTTTAAAAAAACAAAACAAAAAAAACTAAGTATACACTCAACGTAACTGACACGAAGAAAACGCATGCGAGGTCTGAGGTAAAAATGTAGTTTCCGCCCAGATAAACTTTTAAAAATAATGTATTATTTTTCAAACGTTTTATTTTAACTTGTTATTTAAAATGTTTTAAATGCAATGTTAAAATGATGGTAATTTGAATGATAAAATCATGTTTTTGTTTTATTTTTGTCGTGTAATCGACTATTGTTTTCAGTGTCGACTACTAGGAGCTGTACCGTTTAGTCAACTAGTCGACTAGATCCGCACATCCCTACCTAAGAGACATGCATTTTGACATAATTTTGCGCGAATGTGTCATTTCAGGCACAAGTAGATGTAGAAGTGAACAGAATTCAGTGTTCACGTTAGGGATGTGCAACAGCGATCGAGTACTCTGCCGTGACAATGACGATCCATCATGAAAACGATGATCGTGGAAAAAATTATTTATTTTCTGATTTGGTTATAGCAGCACTTTGGGCGGCACCCTGAGCTCTGATTGTTTTGCTTGCCACAGCATGCGGTCCAAAATATAGATGTGAGAAGAGAGCCAATGAGATTTGTCGTTTGTGCATTAGTTCCGCCCACTACCGGAAAACCCGGCAGTTCTTTAAATCTGAAAAGTTCCAAAGGAACTCCATTCTTTTGACAGGAAAATACAACAAAGAATATCGTTTACATGTAGCGCATCAGTTCTGCATGTTATGTAAGACTCTCTCACTCTCTTTCTTTGCGTGTGCGACAGCGAGTCGTGCGCCTTCACACTAGAGTTTACGGTACGTCAAATACAGGTGTGCTGCGCATCCATTCAGATGAACTGAAAAATAACACTGATCGCTTGACGGAGAGTGAAACTCTGAAGCGCTCAGTCAGAGTGTTCTGTGAGTGAAAATATATCTGTGCTAAACTTGTATACTTAGCCTCCAACTCACACACTGGCGAGTAAAATCTGATAATTTATTAGCCAGTGGCTAATATTAGACATAATTTAGTCGCTCAGTGTGAAGATTTAGTCGAATATCTTGAGTGATTTACTCGCAATGTAGAGGGTTGTTAATCTAATAGTGGATGCTTTGGGATATTAACATTTATGACCATCTCAAATGTTATTTTGAGATGGCATCATGGCGGGAGCTCTCTCTTTCACTCTCTCTCGCTATAGCACGTAACTTAAAAGTTCACTGGCATTTCATAAACATACCATTATAATTAGAACTTTGCACAATGAAATCTATAGTAAATTTTGTCTGCTTTCTATGTCCGTGTTTTAGCACGCTGTCATGAAAGCGCATCACAGAGGGAGCTCTCTCTCACTCGCTATAGCGTGTAACTTAAAAGTTCACTGGAATTTGCATCCTTTATTGCAGATTGTAATGTTACATCATGTATCTTAGTTATCTGATTATTGTCATAAGATGTGTCATTTAGATGCTTCTTTTTTAAAAAACATTGCTGCATCATAATCATAATTTAACAGTGTAATCATGTGTTCATGTTTTCATAGACCGGTTTTCATGTCATTTTTATTTTTAACATTTTCATAATAGTCTTCAGATATTTTCGTTATCTCCATTACGGCTATGCAAACAACTGTCATTATCGCGAACGATTTCTTCGATTTCATAATCATACAATTATATCATTTGCATATTTAAAAAAATAATCATTTGCGTAGCTTGTCAGTGAACTACAGCTCTGTGTAGTAAATGCTGCTCCATCTAAAAGCAGGGGATGGAGATTTACTACTAATCACAGAACCGGCTTTACTGACATGTGCATGACAATCGCATTCGATTAATCGTGCATTCGTGCAGGCCTAGTGCAGACACTGGACAAAACTTTCTATCACTGGACATAACTTCAATATTTCTATCTTTCTATTTCTATAAACTTTCTTTCTATCGTGTCGACCACCAGTATTTGCACTAGTGTTAATTTTGTCAGCTACTTTAATTTTAGTCTTAGTCTTAGTCCAGGGCTAAAATGTCCTTGTTAGTTTTTATCATATTTAGTCAACCTTATCCTATTTAGTTTGTCAAGTTTTAGTCGACTAAAAGTCTCAACATTTTAGTCTAGTTTTAGTCAATGAAAACTTGACATTTTAGCAATAACATTATTATTAATTAACTGTACAGCAGTATTAATTTTGGCAGCCATTTTTAATTTAGTTTTAGTCTTATTCAAATCTACATTTTAGTTATCATATTTAGACAAACTTGTCCTGTTTTTGTTTATTCAATGAAATGTATGAGCATTTTAGTCAGGTTTTTTAGTCAATGAAATATTAGTCACATTTTCGTCATTCTGTATAATGTTAAACTGATAAATAAAAAAATTCTCAATTATAATCGTAATTGTTGTCATTTGAGAAATTTACTTTTGCATTTCAGGTATTGCACTTTCTCTAGTAAGCACAAATCAATAGAATGTGGACACATACATGGTGTATTTTACCTCATCTAGTGTACTGATTTATTATAGGCTTTTTATTATATAAATCAACACCAAAGACTTATGCAATCTCTCTGTCTACATTATGAAAACAGCTAAAACAAACTAACAAATATAACGGTGAAATTCCTAGTAATTCCATAATTGCAATTGTCTATTTCTCTGTTAAAACAACAGCGATTGAGTAAGTGTATTTATTCCGTGATCATAGTGAGATCTCATGACAGAACACTGACCGGCTGAATGACGCTTTCATTTAGATCGCTAAACTCCAGCTTGTTTGTTTTTCAGATCATCTGCGGCGGCGCTTCCGCAATGAGGAGCGAGCGCGTGCGCATGGTTGCCAGATAGCTTAAAATAAGCAAAACACACCGGGCAGAAAATTTATGAATTTAACATAACATAACATGAAGCTCTGATTCGGGGATTAGAACTCTTTATATCTGGCAACCACACTCATGAAAGCTCACGTAGTAGAGGTGTGTAGAGCATTCTGCAATAACATTGTCTCCTTTTTTGACAAATAAAAAGAGGTTTTTGGTAAAGTTTTTATCTTTTTGAATACATTTTAGTCTCTTCTTATTTCGGCAGCGAAATTGCATGTTGATATAGACTTAGTTATCGTTTATTGACCTTATTGTTGTCTCGTCTTAGTCATGGAAAAAAAGCTAGTCAACAAACTTTTTTTGTCATAGTCTTCGTTAATGAAATTAACAGTAATTTGCACGCACTATAACATTTTCTGTACTGCTGCGGTATACATACCCTAGGCCTTTATGTCAAAACTGAAGTATACTTAACCATTTTTTATGAGCTCTGCAGTCAGTCCAGCCTCAGCTGCTGCTACTACAGGCGATGCACTTCATCAAAACACACATACAGAAAGCGGGACACATTCTTCTTTTCAAAGACAGCTGGACCGTACAAAAGAATGAAATGAACTACTTTTCAATTTACCCAGTCTTTTTTTTTTTTTTTTCATGTCTATTTAGTACTTTGTTTACTTTGAATTTGAACTTCCATTCAGAGTAATTTCTCAGCAAATGTTGATTATGCCAATTAATCAGATTTAAATGCATGTGATTCAACTGGAAGTCTTGAAAAGTTACTGAAGTTTGTGTCTTTACTAGAAAAAATTGCTTTGTGTCAATGAGTGTATGACTGTACTTTGTATCCACTGGTCATTGCAGGATCATTGTGAGGCTCTTGTGAGTCTTTCAGCACTTCCTGATGTATGGTATTGTCATGCTGTGGCGTCGCTGTGTTCACTGGAGCAAACCGTATACATTTTTCACAAGTCAGGCCATAGTCTGCAGATTCTAACAGTCACAAGTATTGCCCAGTATTTTCAAGAAACTCGTTCTGTCTTCAGACTAATTGAAGTTGCATTTAAGTTCATTTTAATGCATAGAGAAGTGTGCAAGACCACTTCCTTTGCTATTTTTCTTGTTTGGTAAATAATATGAGCACAGTTGCTGACATTGCATCTTTCCATGCAGGTGGAATCGTTCATACTAGACCAGGAGGATCTGGATAACCCCGTACTAAAGACCGCTTCAGAGCTGCTCCTATCCAGCGCAGCAGACGGAGCCGACCTCAGAACAGTAGACCCAGAAACACAGGCCCGGCTCGAGGCATTATTAGAAGCAGCAGGTATATCCTTCGGCCGACCCTGATGTGATCGTATTAAGCCTAATGATCTATCCTGTGTCTCTGCGTGCATGTGCTCACAACTTCTGTTTGTGTTTATTTCTGTGTTGTAGACTTTAGAGCAAAGATCCTCTGAATTGCTTTTTGTTGGAATTTGTTGCCACAAAATGCCCACAGAATTGTAAATATCCGTAAATAATTAGGGCTGCAACAACTAACTTATTATAATCAATAAAAATAATCAATGAAGAATTTCATAACTGTGCACAGAGAACATTTCTATAAAAAATGCATTTGATTACTTTTTTATAATTACTTTATATTGTAACCTTTTATACACTACCATTCAAATGTTTGTGGTTGGTCAGAATTGTATGTTTTTGAAAGCATTGTCTAATGCTCAACGCTGCATTTATTTCTTGAAGAAATCGAAACATTGTGAAATATTATCAATTGTGAATTTTTCAGTAATGTTAATTTCGTTAATGAAAACTGATAAAATGTTTGATAAAATAAGACCATAAGATCAATAAACAATAACTGTGACTATATCAACACCGTGTCATTGAAAATAAAAGATGAGACTAAATTGTCGAAAAAAGAGGACAAAACATAACTGACTGCTGTACCGCTACTACGCGAGCTTTCATGTTTGCGGTTGCCAGATACCAAGATTTCAAATCCACAAATAGGAGCAATTCTGTTAAAAGCATAAATTTTCTGCCTGGTGTTTTACTTAATTGTAATCTGGCAACCATGCACATA